GTATGTAGTTGCGCGGCAGCGAAGCGTCTGTACTGTTTTTTGGCCTGCTGCTGATGACTTTACTCGTCCGAGAAAAGACCATAAAATAGTCAGATCAGTTGGTAGGGACATCTGTTGAATGGAAGCTATATTTTCGGGATAAGGATGGCGAAATAATAATAAATAATGTGTCAGCTGTACGCCGTAACGTCGCTTCGCTGTCGTGCGACCACCACCATTCGCACGCGGGCTGAGTAAAACGTGAGGACTCCCACCCATACGCGGATTCGAATCCGCGTCACAGGATTACGAGGCAAGCTCGTTATCTTTAGGCTACAGGCGAGCGCTTGTCAAAATAAATCCGAAATATTTTATGGGATTTATAAAGAAAACATTTTTCTGCGCGAGTACAAAAACCATACTGTTGAAATCGATCGAGTACGCTATGTAGACGATGTGCCAGTTCTTCCTGAATGCAGCCAATGACGATGATGTCATCAAGGTAAGCAGCTACTCTTGATGATCCGGTTAACACGGAGTTCATTTTTTGTTGGGACATGGCTGGTACCGATTTTACACCTAATGGTAAATGGTTAACATGGATCTATCCGTAATGTGTACTAATCGTCAGGTGTTTCTTGTGATTTTCCGTGACTTCTGTTTGAAGGTATGCATCGACAAGATTTAGTTTCACGAAACATGCTACCATTGAATTTGGTGAGCAAATGCTGTGGAACTGGTAATGGGTACTGATGTGAGTTTAACACATTTAAGTCCAGTCGAGTAATCAGGACGTATACGTACTTTGCCGTTCGCTTTTTCAACGATGACAATAGTAGCTGCCCATGATGAATAACTGACGAGTTGAATAACTCCGGATTGTTGAAGATGACCTAACTCTATCTACAGTTGCTAGAGTGACACAGTTTTAGTCAAAACCGGTAAAGCGTCTGGTTTTAGTTGGAGTCTGGCTATGAGCTTGATGCGGCAACCGAGACCATCTTGGGAAACCTGTGCAAAATTTTCCTTGATATAATTTGTAATTTGCACTGCGATCTGTGTTGTGGTCAGCTGCAAAGTTGTGCATAGGGGTGAGAGCGAGACATCGAGGAGTCAGTTTTTCAATTCAGTCAAATCCAATCACTTTATGTTTGGGACAGTCGGTGATATAACACGTTCCTGAGAGCTGCACATTGTTATAAGACGTATCACAGATGAGTTCTTCAGTCAACCGTAAAGTACTACCAGATGCATTCCATGCATGGTAATTAGTGATTGCTAATGCAGGTGTACTGCCTAACTCCCAGGTTGAACGTGTGATCAACGTAATGTCCGAAGCCTTATCAAGTTGAAGACGGAATGGGAACTGATACGCATTTTCTTCTGGATTTAAAATTGACTTTGGAAGTTGTGAACACAGAATTAGACTGAGGACGTTTTCTGTATGGTCCATTGAGTTGTAAAAGGCAGAAGGAAGGTCCCATGTTAGATCCGCCACCTCCAGTTCAACACGAGGATGCCGTGTGTCATCACGACCCGGTAGTCCTAAGGGAGCCGGAGCAGTCGCGGTAAAACAGTATGGTGCCGATGTCCTGGTAACCTTATTTCTCTAGTTGAACTGAGGACGCTCTTTTGTGTGCTTTGTTTCTTAGCACGGAACGAGGGAGGCCTTTTGGGGGCCCCATTGTTGACGCTGCTGACAATAATGTTTCTTGAAAACATGAAAGCGAGCGTAATGCCATTCACCACATGATTAGCAAGGAGTTGATGGCTTTTTATGGAGCTGGGTAGTTGTTCGTATCAATGCATAGACGCTGCTTAAGACTGTACAGATGTTGACACTGTGGCGAGAGATCTTGCAGTGACATCCGGTTGGTGTTCAAGTTTGGAAAGCAGTTAAGTGCGGATGTCCGGCTCTTTGTGAAAATGAAGACCGGAAACAAAAGTAATCGTTTTAACCCACCCTTTTTGAGTGTCTATATTTGGAATTTTTCACACTCACGGTTTACGGTGCCTGCATAGGTGACGTAACCGTCTGCATCACGCTTTGCCAACTTGAGATATTTGTATCGGCCTTTTAAAATCGAACGCTGATTTCTGAAAATCTCACTTAGTTGTTCCACTGTCTGCACAAAATCAACATCATAGGCTTGCTTTGGGTGTATGAAGTTACTGAAATGATCGTGCTCGACGGTTCCCAGTTTCGGGATTAATAGTCGGGATTTTCATGAGTCATCTTTATCCGTAAATTCGTTATCTGATGTATCTTTCCACGGGTCAAAGGTAAGACCGGATGAAGGCTCGTTTTGAAAGTCTGAGATAGAAGCTGCAGTGGCATCGGCTGAGTATACCAAGCTGCTACTTGTTGATGGAAGTGTTGGTTGAAGTGAGAGGGACTGAACAAGAGTTTGAATGAGTCGCAATTGAGGTTGATCGCATTTCGCTTGTTGTTGCTGGAGGATTGCTTTCAACTCCTCAGTTAAAACTGACGTACTTGGATCCGTTTTAGACCTCTGCCGTCAGTGTTCTGTTCTTTGTGTCCTTCAATCTACAACTATCTGCACACGGATCATGAGAAGACGAACAAGCACTGATGGAAAACCTATCTCCGGGTGGGAAAGTCCGGAGAGATTGAACGTGGTACAGTTGGAAGGAAAAGCGTCGTAGTTCAGGATAGAATCAGTGACAAGCTGAAATGGAGGATAGTATACTTGTGGTTAATAAGCATAAATGTCAGAAAAGCGGGTGAATTCATTCGAAGCCAACCCTCCTAACACGTTTATTCCTAATTTTTCGATAAATTTCGTAGTTGCTGGTTGATGCGGTTTCTTGGTAGGTTCTCCAGCACTTAGATTGCGTTCTGAATATATATTTACCCATGAAATCTATCCATATAGGCAGCGCCCGTGTCTCTTTTTTTCTTCTTCGGCGAGATAAGCCTTAAACTTCTCCCAGGCTGACTCAACAGTGTCGGCCACTCAGATCGCACAATGTAGAATTGAAGCGTTTGCTCGTCTTGAGTTAAAGTCCGCCTGCCAAATATTTTGGGATATCTTAGCAGTAGTCTAATGATAACTTGAGAGAGTACATCGAGAGGCTGTGCAGACATGGTTGCTGTCACTAAATCGATTGACTTCACTAAAAGCAGGATCCATGCTAAACGGCATCTGGTTGCTCATAAACCTAGTCAAGAGGTCCGCGAACTGATGCGAAGGAAGTTACAATGTTGGCTCGAGGAGATTTGAACCAAACTGTAAACTAGTTTATAGCGATCAGGTTCAGTGCTGCGCTCAGGTTAGGACAGGATCCAGGAACGAAGCAAGCTTTCGCTTAAGGAGTGTCTCCTTTCATGTTCCAGTAAGCGAAATTGACTCTCCAGCACTTCGACTTGATAGTAAGTTTATAATGGAGGAAGATAAAAGCAGGAGCAAAACAACAACAACGTTGCATACGCTACTAGGATGAGGTTAGATGCTGCAATGAAGTCTTACAGAAATTCGAGGAACATGGCCAACCAAATTTGGTTTTATGTAGACTTGTATTGCGACAACGTTTCGCCATTGACCCAAGAGCTTCTTCAGGGTTGCTGGACTAGTACAGACATTTTAGACTTTTTATAGCAAATTCGAATGACGATGGTGAGAGATAACCCGGACCAGTGGTCAAATGTAGTTACAATTTCAAAGGCTCAAGAGGTCAACCTGGAGGTACAATGAGGATGGAAATTTCCCAATTGATCCGTGTAATGGGTCATTCCCAGGTGAGGCACTGCGTTTGTTGCTCTTGGCTCTAGTGATTATGTTTCGACGTTTTCGTTCCAACCTGAGTCCCTACAGGCCAGTCTGAGCAGCTTTGATGGACGGACTCAGGTTGGAGAGATACCGTCGAATTACCATCACTAGAGGCAAGAGCAAGCACTCCGTGTCTCACATGCGAATGGCCCATTTCGTTGATCAATTGGGAAATTTTCATCCTCATTATACCACCAGATTAACCCTTTCAAACTGTAAGCACATTTATCCACTGACCCAGGTTATCTTTGCTATCATCATTCTAATTTGCTATAAAATGCCGAGCCAAGTCTTTACTAGTTGACCAGACTTGAAGAAGCTCTTGTGTCAAGGACGAAACGTTGTCGCAGTACAAGCCTATATAAAACCGATATGTATTCTTTGGAAGTTATGAACTCCCAGTCGGTTCCAGGTTTATTCCAAAACATTGAATGGCCAACCAACATTTATTTGGGCATCGCTTTAAGTCCTCAACCGTTATGCACTATAATAATGCGGAAGTTGGTTTTAGCTAATCACACCTCTTTTTTGCGAAATGTTTAGCTCTTACCAACCCTAAATTCTTGCTGTTTCGATATCGGACAATGAGCCTGAGATTTCCCTGGATTTTGAATATTTCTTTTAAATTGCTTCTCAGTCTACGTATTATTTCAAACAACCTTGTTACCCAACCGATTTTTATATGGTAACCCACACTGGCCTACAATTTGTGTGACCATATCCACGACAGTCTTTGCACATTCTCGACAAAATGGAGATCTTCCTTCAGACAGAATGCCCTATTTATACTACCGGTTGCCGCGAGACACTTATACATGCAATCGGTTGACCGACAGACGCGTTCGTGCTTTGATCCTTCGTTCTGTCTTTAGCTGATCGGAGCATCTCCGTTGCGCCGCTGTGCTGTTGTGTGGTATTGTTTACATGGTCTTCAACTCGTTCGAGATATTACTTGTTTCAGCTCGGACTGATCATCCGTACCTTCAACCTATCCTACCGGATCTGTTACAATAGTAAGCACCATGCGGGCAGAAGATTGACATGGCTATTCTCTGTGGCTCATATCGTTTTTCTTTCTCCTACCTGCGCTTATCGTTTTCTGTATTGACAATACTGCTGTTTTTCCCGGTTGCTTTCGCTATCCATTGCATTTTTTCCTTGTCTCCCATTAGTTGGGGGTTGCAAAACGGCGTCCAACAAAGCTAGAGATATTTATTTTGTATTTCAGCCTTTTACGATCTGCTTTACGGATTGGACACGAAAGCATCTGAAATCCAGGAATCTGACTTTCCCTCACCACTTCTCCGCAGTATGCTATCAGAGGACATTACGCTGATTGTCAAATCACCCAATGACAAAACTCCAAATCATGTAGTGTCTTGCCAGCTTTCGTGGACGGTGAGAGAGCTGAAGGCGCATCTTTGCTCTACTCACCCGAGTCATCCAGAGCCGGCGTCACAGAGGCTAATTCACGCCGGAAAGTTGATGCTAGATGATTCCAAATTGGCAACAGTTTTCAAAGAAGTGGGTTAGTATTACGAAATCACCTTTCCTTCTAACCATAGAGGTACTCTGGAACTCCAACAATTCATCTGATCTCCCGTTCTTCGAAGGCTACTGCGACGAAACCTGTAGCTGATCAAATTCACGGAGCTGACCTGAGGTGAGCTATTCTCATACTCGTATTGTTGTTGTTATACAGCACTAAGAATGTTTACTGTTTATACTTATATCCATCTGTTCTGAACCAATTAAGGATGGCGCAGCCCACGACTGTGTTCCGCGCGACAGCAGTGGACTGCGATGTAGTGAGCCCCACATCCATCCTAGCGGTGTGCACTTAGTCATATTTTCGCCATCAACTAGCCGTCTTTTTATCCTGGTTCAATTTTCTTTAACTACATTGCCTCTTGGATGGAAGTTACCGGCGATGTGGTTGGTGTAGACTGTTGGCTGTTCGCATGGAGACGTTTTCATCTTTGCATTAACCCTGCACCTTAGCCTAATGTCTCTCGCAGGACTGTTTGGAAAGACGTAATTAAAGTAAGTTGTGCGGAGATGGGGTCGCAAACATTTCGCTCAAATGAAACCAGTATGGTGTTGTTGGGAACATGTAATATCCCACATAGTCACCGTTTTCTTATGGTTACAATCACTGTCCGATTAATGGAGCGCCTATGGACGTGTTCCGTTGTATCTTTGACGCGGGTTTTGTTTCCATATATTTTGGATTTTTAATGAAAGGCTTAAGTTGAACTACCTTCTTACCTGCTAATTTGGCCGGCAGTGACTTATTGAAATAATACTCATGGTTACTATTACATGAATTGAGTGCTGATAATGTACGCAGGAGATAGGAGTTTCCTGGTGCGCGTGATACAAATCTCACTAACGTGCCGTGGATCAGATAAGTCTCGTGGCAGCTAAAACAATGCACCAAGTTCGGACCGACAGCAACGCGAGCTTGATAGGTGTGCTCCGAAGTCACTAAGACACGAGTTATGTCAAAGTAGTTAAATATTTGCTAGCCTACCGAGGACTTTTCTGATTCTTTGTGTACTTGGTGAAACGGGTTATTTTGGAATGGGTTCAACATCAAACTGAACGCGCGTGGAGACTTGCATGACGTTTATGCATTTTATATCGGGTTTGACGGAACGATGTCACACATCTGCGCAGCCCACGACCAGGTACTCCAGGACTGGTTACCCTGATGTGGTTTATAAATGAGTTTGTGCTTGAAAATCTCCGTCTTTATTCCCGTTCGCATTGACGATCGGACTGCCATACCATATAATGCGTGGAGTTAATCGGGGGTATCTGTTGCTGAATGACTGTAACTACAAGCATTTGACTTCGCGTGCCTCGTTTACTGGACTACTGTTGTTTCATTTGATCCCGAGATCTGGGTTCATTGTGACAGATAACCCTAAACTTTCCATCTAGTTATTCTAATCAGCATTAAGAGCTTTACAGAAGTGACCAGTTAACCGGTTTGAGTTTTGTCATCGATGGGTGCAAGACATATGTGACTTGCAAAGGCGGTTGGGATTAAAACAGACCCGTAGTCATAAGGTACGGCTTTATTTCCTTTGGTCCGAAACCATAGACGGATCCTGTGCATGTTCCTACTTCATTGCATCGCTGAATCCGAAACAAAACACATCACATCCTGGTTAACCAGTCACTGCTCACTTGTCCCGCACTAGCAACCTTTAATCACCACATAAACAACCGCAGTACATCAGCCATTTGAGCTGGTGCTTCGCTGCTATACAGCCACTTCAACTTGTGGAATGAAGAATAACAGGCGGAAGAGAAGCAACTTAGTGCAAGACCTAAACTCCTTAAGCAATCATTCATGGTCACTACACATGCACATTGTCAACAGCACGGTTACAAACTGTTATGGACGCTGAAGAAAAAACACTGTTCACCCAAAATGTCATTTAACATAGATACAAGTCGGTCCAAGGTAAAATCTTTGGGGCATTTTGGCAAAATAAAATTGTGAAACGTCATGCTCCTTGGTTCCCAGCTTTCGCAAAAACAGTTTGCACTTCCATCCGTCGTCAGTATCAGCGAATTCGAACTGGAAAACGTTTTCGTATCTTTTGAACCAATATTCGAATGTTTGGCTGGCATCCGAGTCATGCTGAAACTCACAAATGCTGTTCGCGACTGCATCCGTTGATGATTTGTGCTTTCCATTGTTTGGCCTTGCTTGAATCGCAAAACCCTGAATGCTGTTTTCGAGCAATCTTGTCTCGCTTTCTTCAAATTGCTTCTGTTGATGTTGAAGTATTGCGGTAAACTGCTCCACTGAAAACAACATATTTTCGTCGTATCCAATCAAACTGCTACCTCTGTCACCGCTTGTTATGGTCAGTAAGATCGCCCCGCTCGCTCCGATTGGCTGTTTGCTGAAACCTGCCCGCCCCCGACTGGCCGATCAAAACGACAAACCCGCAGACACAGTGTAATGTCCGCCAGACACTGGATGATTACAGAGCGCTGAATACCGACATTTATTTGTTCATAGCGACCTTACTGAACCTTCTCTGTTCTCTTTTTTACTTACTAATAATGGTGTTAGATTCCAGGGATTAACCAATGAGATTATCTTGCTCGATTTCTGGAAAATGGCTGTACTTTGATCCTCTTTGGGCTCACTGATCCGTTCGATAGGAGGTGCCCCTCCTAACACAAATATCTGGCTATCGGCATTGGCGAAACAGCTTCCTTGCGTCTTTAAATGTCCAACTTCATAATCAGCCATTACCCCCCCCCCCCAGATAATTCAGCATCATTCGCACTTTTAGCAGGTTGTCCGACTAGGAGACGACAGCGGACGTGTGTGTCTCTGCTCTAACACTTGACCAAGAGTAACTACGTGGTCAATGAAATCAAGACCAGGGCGAGCACTAGCCTGGCTTTCGTTGGTTCGGCTTTCACAAGGACCGGCAAGCCATCGAAGAAGGATATCCATAAGAAGTCTGGAGGGATGGTTTTCGGACGAAGCCTCCACATTTTCAGCAGATGAGCGCGATAGTTGGCAGGCAGCAATCAGTAGTAGGCACCACTTTAGTGTCCCAAATAGTGTCAAATAGGACAGCAAGTCTATTCAACCAAGAGTCACCTCCATCTTTCAACAAAGATGGAGGAGAGTACTCAGTCCACAAGCCTTTTTTCGCTTTTACACGGTAAACTCATGTCAAATCTCCCAAAGTGGGTGGCGTGGTATCCACTAACTACGTAAGCACAGTTGAGTCAGCAAGCGGTAATGTCGCAGCAGGTTTGCTGAACTGCTCTCCAAAATGTTTTATCTAACGGACTAGCCTGAGGCTGCTAATGGATCAACTGTCCAAATTTCTCAGCTGTTGTTTCACTAAATGTGGACTTTCCTTGGGTCCATGTTCTTGATCACCTGAACAGTATTCTTTTTTTATTTGCTTTCTCCATCTCACGGACCATTGCTACTCACCAACGTTCCCGGTCAATTCAAAGACAGATGCACTGACACTCAGTGCCCAGTGAAAGCTGTTTGTGTGCTTTTATCAAACTGATCGATGCCTCGGACACATTCATAGTTAGGTTGCTTCAAGTTGAATCTACAACAAGCGTCATCAGCACTCTTTATGGCACGATTGGGACGATTCCAACCAGCGTTACTTATTTGTTTTAGAGTGCGAACGCTTAACGCAACCAATGACTCGTTATAGCTTGACCTTATAAGGGGCTATTACCGACAGAATTGCAATGGGTGGTGCAGGAAGACAACTGCAGATGGCAGAATTTCAGTGACATTGCATGTACCACCAGCTGAGCTGGAAATCATAAATGAAAGTTTAATAATGGTTGTCAAGAGCGGAGTAGGAGAAGCAGCTGGCTAGAAAAGGGAGGCGTCAGTAGTAGTGTGTTTTCGCTTACCCGCCCTGCTGTATGCAGGACTGTTTAAATCTGTGCGATGGTCGATGCAGGATTTTATTGGAGTTTCATGAAATAGTAGTGATTGTATGTGAGCTAAGATACTGGAAGGTCGCCCACCCCATAGGCAGGAGAACGGATAGGGTTCTCAAGCAAAGCCTATGGCTCAACAATCATCGCAAATCGGTGGCGGAATGGAAACGATCCGGTTTTACAGGAATTGACACCAACCTCAACTCGGAGAACGAGGAGACCAAGTTCGTCTGACCTCTAATCACTAACCGACCTGGTAGGAGCAGCTGTCAAGGGATCCCCGGGGCACCATTCAATTTAATCTAGTCGATCCAGAGGCACTCAAACTGTCACATTACGTTAAGGTAAAGTCTTGTTGTGACGGACTAGCAGGTCCTACTGGGTGGGCTACGTGGGCTAATGAGAGAACAATAAACTAATAAATCGGGAAGAGAACCACTGTTTAACGGCGGATCATAGCATAGCAACACCCGTAGCACTATTCCTCTTGAAGATCTAACATTTAATGTTCCTCTTTTTGCTGTCTTAGATTGATTTAGAGAGATAGCACCTGATCACTTCTTCCAGATTTTATTTGGCATTTCCGGAACGCAAACATACAAACTCATTCTACAGCGTTCGTCCGTTTTTTCCACCTCTTATGCTTTATCACTGCTTGTTGGAAGAAAGGCTTTTTGATTTTCCTTCCTTCTTACATCATAATAGTGGTATTTCGCCCGAAGATCTCCAGAAATATCAACGTGAATATTACGAATACTTGCGTCAGTTCTACCTTCAAAACCCAAATCTCACTTCATCCATTTGTCCAACTGAATCATCTTGGCCATATGCGACTGCCTCCTATCAGCGTGAGTTACTCCCTTGTTTCAGTTGCACATTCGTTCTTCGAGTCTAGAAATTTGTTTCCAAACGTTTAACCACTATGTGAGGTTACATCATCAGTTCGATGAGATTCAGAATGTAATCTCGCTGATTGAATTGTCGACCGTGATCGACGTACAGGTGACTTTTTGAAAGTGACGGCTTCGATCTGCGCTCCGTGATCTCTACACATTTTCCCCGCGGCGGAAGTCATCGCTGAAGTTGTTCCTTGTTTGCCTAAACATGTCCGCTTGGTCAGCGTTTATTTCCCTATGTAACTTATTCTGCTTGGTTCACATCGCGCGTAGCAGGGTTAAACGGCTGTTACCTGTTATGCCCGCCCCACGATCAGCCTTCAGCTACTCTTGTGGTGATGAAAACAAGACGATCAAGAACAGGATTCTTTACACCGAAAACTACACCAAGAGACACGCAGCTGTCTAGACCTACAATAATATAAATCACTCGATAAGACAAAGCCATTAACAAATGCAAAAATCGAGCATCAATTAAACACAGTCAATGAAAGATAGAATATGGCATCGGAGTAAGGAGAAAACTTACTCGTTTCCAGAAGCAAGGAAATGAAAACCTACGGACACAAATTTTTACATAAGGCTACCTGAATTTCTCGTTGCTGTAACATTATACGAACACCAAACTGAAGTGGTTAAGGCCGTTACATGTTTTTGCACCGTGGTAACATGAGACATACATCATCATCATCAACAACAACATCATCGTCATCACCACTACCATCATCGTCATAATTATAATTACATATTAGTTGAAGGTGAGAAACTTCAACCATTGTGCCGCTATACAAAAAGCTAAAATACACAGAAAAGCGAGCTAATACATTAAAAATACAAAAAACGGGTAACAACCTACTCAGTATATATGGTTGGCGGCATCCGGTTTCGGATTGCCTGTCACTGTGGTCAGCCACAGGCCGCCTGCGCCTACAGATGGACCATGGGTGGCTTGCGCTGTACCACCCACAGCTTCAACCACACACCCCATATCCAGTGTAAACCGAAGGAATAAGACCGGGAGGCATGTGGATGGGATTCACGTCTCATCAACGGAGCCGGCCCACACTCCTTCACAGGCAAACACAACCACGCTGTATCTGGGAATCAAGCGCACACAAGGCGGTGGCTGAACCGTAGTCCGCTCCACACTGACTGCATGGAACCACTCTTTGATCCTAACACGGCCACAAGGACCGTGCACCCCGTCCCCTCCAGCAACGACCAACTGTCTCCTGGAGCCAGCATGGACGAGGTAGTGGGTAATAGACAGGTAGGCACCTTGTCAACATGCACATCAAGCGCAGCCACACCAGGGATATCAAGCAACAGCCAATCACTTGAGAGAAGGATACAAAGAAAATAACCCGAGTAATGCATAGGGAAACGGTGACATAAATCCTAAATTAATGAGCATTTGAAATAAGTTGTTTACAAACGAATCCTAGATAAGTTCACGTGGTCAGAAAGTATACGTTACGGAAATGCTACAAACACGAAGATGTTATCGAAATTAACTACGATTGGCTTAAGCGAGTTGTGCAGGTTTATAGAAGAGGGTACAGGTGGACATTTATTTGAGAAAGAAAAGCATTTAGGCAAAATTGAAAACCCACCACCTGAAATAAATAGACTTAGCATGCAAGCACGCGGTTAGTAAATCGAATGCAGCGTACCTACAAACGCTGCGCCGGTTCTGCCTATGTTCTCTGCAGGACCCGTCGTCGCTTCGGTAGTGGTCCCGAGTGGCCTCGCTCATGGCCCACTAGGCCTGCTGTACTCAGGCACTCGCGACCACATGTGCTACAGCATCATGCGCTCGATGTTGATGGAGTACAACCCATCGGTGCTTGCCGCTTTTTCTCTGCATGTATGAGGTCTTTTTTCCGCACTTCGGCAACTAGCTTCGTGATTAGCTCGTGCCATGCACGCCGATCAACCGCCATCGATTCACATGACCTGTCAAATTCGGGCTCACCATCAACACAAGCAAAACTCTCTGTCTCTTTCAGCCTTCACTTGACGTGCAATCTTCAATATTGCCGCGAATCAGCATTGGTGCCGAAGTATTGGAAACCACCTCCCGCTTCTGCTAACTTGGGAGTGTGATGTCGACTGACCAGCAGCTACACAGTGAGCTGCGTATCCGCGTGTCGAAAGCAGCAGCGGCATTCAAGGAATCTTGAGTACCGAGTGTGGAATAACCGTCAGCTTACCATTGGCACGAAGCTGATGGTGTACAAATCCATAGTGCTGTCCGTTCTTCTATACGGCAATTCAATTTAACCAACCTGAGTTATCACTTTCTTCTTCGGGCATTGAGCGCCCTTCTCCTTGCGCCGTCTCCTTGGATCCGCCCTCACGCTCAAAAGTCGAACGTGAGATCAGGCTGTTGAAATTGCATAAGGCCGCAGAGGCTGGTAGAATTCCCCCAGCCCTCTTCAAATTCGGGGGACCTGCTCTAGTAGATGATCTACACGAGTTGCTTGTAAAACTTTGGGAGCAGGAGACAGTCCCGACAGGCTGGAACCGCTCCGTCATTGTCCCAATTTTCAAGGGAGGCTCGCGTTTAGAATGCGTCAACCATAGAGGAATCAGTCTGATTTCGATTGCCTCTAAATTGCTTGCCTCTGTCATTCTCCACAGGCTGATTGGCACTCGTGAAAGCCAGATTTGTGAAGAACAAGCCGAATTTCGTCGAGGTCGGGGCTGCGTCGACCACATCTTCACATTGCGTCTAGTGTTGGAGCACCGCCATGTTTATTGGCGACTCACCGTTGTCGTGTTTCTTGACATAAAAGGTGCCTTCAACTCAGTCGATCGATGTGCCCTTTGGGACTGTCTGCTGAGGAAAGGTGTGCCTGATAAATATGTAAACATTATCAAAGTGCTGTACGCACATAGTTCGGGCAGGGTGAGGGTTTATGACAAACTCTCGCCACCCTTCAGTATCACCAGCGGTGTGAGACAAGGATGCCCGCTGTCACCTTTCCTCTTCAACTTCGCTATTGATGAAGTCATGGAAACAGCGTTCGCTGGACACGACCTAGAAGGTGTGGAGCTACTTCTTGGTGCGCGACTTCTTGATTTGGAGTATGCGGACGATATTGCCCTAATCTGTGACAGCTCCCAAACATGCCAAACAGCACTGGACCGATTAGCGCTGGCTGTCAATCGTTTTGGACTATGCTTTGCTCCATCGAAATGCAAAGTACTTCTCCAAGATTGGGAGGGACCCAACCCTGCGCTAACGCTTGGTGGTGATCTGCTAGAAGTCGTTCAGGGATTCAAGTACCTGGGCAGCTATATTAGCACCCGTGGGATTGAAGATGAGATCACGAACCATATAGCAAAAGCTCGAGGTGCTTTTGCCAATCTCCGCCACCTGTGGCGCAGACGCGACATTACTCTCGCCCTGAAGGGCAGAGTTTATAACGCAGCCGTCCGTTCAACTCTCCTATATGGTTGTGAAACTTGGCCCATCAGGTCGACAGACATGAAGAGGCTCGTCACATTTGATCATCGCTACCTTCGCAGCTTAGCTCATGTCTGGTGGGAACACCGCGTGAGCAATGAGCGTGTTCGACGTCGCGTATTTGGTGCAGGAAGAGCGAGTGAACAGCTCAGCACCATTATGTCACGCACCAGGCTCCGATGGCTGGGCCACGTGTTTCGCATGCCAGCACACCGACTCCCGCGACGTGCATTGTTTGCGCATTATGGGTGCGGTTGGAAGAGGAGGAGGGGAGGCCAAGTGATGACTTGGTCGAGAGAAATGAAAACCCTCACTTCGAAGTTGGCGTCGGTTGGTGCATCCCGACTGCCTGGCTGGGGTCCTAAGGACGGTGAACACGTTTGGTTGGACACACTTGCTGACATGGCGAAGAGCAGGCCCCAATGGCGTTTGTGTTGTGAGTTCCTTTGTCCATCCCCCTCCTGTTTAGCATCCCCCTCCAATCACGATCTCACTTGTTAGGCATAATATGACTCTCTTTTACGGCAGCCAGCTGTTAGCTCTCCGGAACGATGTCCATCCGTTACTGTAGACTCAGCGGGCGTGCTACTGTTTGTTTTTCTTTTTTCCTTTCTTGCCTTTTGTATTGCGACACAATAGCTGAGGTGTTTTCCACCTCCAGATAACATGTAATGATGATGACGGCAGTGAAACGTCGACGATGTACCGTCGGGATGTGCGATATCTCGAGCGGTTCTATCAGCAGTGTCTGCGACGAATTTTGCGCATTGGTTGGGGCGCCAGAGTTGCAGGCACGGAAGTGTTGCGCCGAAGTGGGATGTATGCAGTGGACTGCATACTTTTGCTGAGACACCTGAGGTGGCTCGGTCATGTGTGGCGTATGGATTCAACGCGGATACCGAAACAACTCTTATACGGTCAGCTGAGTATTGGAAAGCGGCATGTGGGGAAACCAAAGTTACGTTACCAGGACATGATCAAAGTGAGCCTCACGTTCTAATCTTGATTGCAGGTCATGAGAATCGATGGCGGTTGATCGGCGTGCATGGCACGATCTAATCACGAAGCTAGTTGCCGAAGTGAGGAAAAGAACCTCATACATGCAGAGAAGACGCGGCAATTGCGGAAGCGGCAAGCACCGATGGGTTATACTCTATCAACATCGAGCGCACATGTGGTCGCGAGTGCCTGAGTACAGCAGGCCTAGTGGGCCATGAGCGAGGCCACTCGGGACCACTACCGAAGCGACGACGGGTCCTGCAGAGAACATAGGCAGAACCGGCGCAACGTTTGTAGGTACGCTGCATTCGATTTACTAACCGCGTGCTTGCATGCTAAGTCTATTTATTTCAGGTGGTGGGTTTTCAATTTTGTCTAAATGCTTTTCTTTCTCAAATAAATGTCCACCTGTACCCTCTTCTATAAACCTGCACAACTCGCTTAAGCCACTTGTAGTTATTTCAATAACATTTTCGTGTTT